ACATTGGTCACTTTTTCGAAATTTCTACATATAATTTGCAAAAANAAGTTTTTTGAAGGATTTTGCTCAAAACGAAAAATCGTTGGCTAGCCAGGAGTTTAGCGTGATTGAATCGATTGAGGAAATGTCACGACCGTCTTCTTTACGACACGTTATGCTAAACGGTGTACTGCAACAGCATATCATAAACTCTCATGGACATTTTATCGATTTACTTGGTGCAGTACCGATGAATGACCGACTATCGATCACAGCTGACGATCGTACTGTGAGTTCCCTGAAGTGAATAACTATTTTAGGAACCGTAAGATATTATTCCCAAAATGTTTTATCGCTGTTTATTTAGTTTGTGAGTACCAACTGGTCAGAAGTCATTGGCAATCTTAACAGTAACTGAAAAATAGGTAATTAGTTCGCTAACAATTGAAAGAGTTGACCATAAACATAGCGTATGTAATTTACTTCACGTAATCTCACGTAGTAAGTTACTTTCTTATGTACTTGTCCCTAAGTTTTTGGCACCTCGGATACTGGAAAATAATATATAAAAGGGTTTTTTTTTGCAGCTGAAGAGACTTTTGGCGAAGTTGGCAGCCGATGATGTATTAGATGAAGAATTCGCGATGATTCCGAATCGACGTATGTCTGCCGGTGTGTCAACTAGTCAGAAACCGGAAAATATGGTCCAGTTTTTCGAACTACTTATTCAGTCATGATGGGAAGGAATGATAGAAAATATAAGAAGATTAAGTCTCTTGTTGTTTTCCTGATCCATCTCTCAAATATTTTTGTTGTTTTAATCGCAAAGTAATTAATTTGGCACTGACCGTTTAACATTTTGGCTTCGAGTTTCGATCCTTAAAGAAATTATGGCAGAAAGCTTCTCTTGTGAATAAAAAAAGAGGTTTTAAATTTGTTCATGGTCGAATTTGGTAAGTTTTCGAGAAATCGTTCAATTTCCAGAAACGGAACCGTACACGGTCGATAGTGCCATACGAAGACACGCGAATTGTGTTGCACTCAAAGCAATCTAATCCAACAGGTTATATCAATGCTTCAAATATTCAGGTAATTCAACTTCAGGAAATTTATGAATTCACAAAAATTTGCTATTATTAAACTTTCTTATCACAGATTCCAATCGGCGACCGAATTTTGCAATATATATTGACACAGGCTCCACTTCCGGATACTATCGAAGATTTCTGGCAGATGATTTGGGAATCTGGCTCACAGCTTATTGTCATGCTTTGCAATGCTCAAGTAAGGAGGGATTTCCTAATTCTGTTAACAATTAAGCCGATACCATGATCGTGAGTAATAAACGGTCAATCGATGTGATATTGTTTATAAAGGTCATGATAAGTAAGGAAGTAATTCCTAAGTAGGAAAGCAATTCCGTTTATGAAAAGTTAATTGTGTTAGGGGAAGATCTTGTAGGTTTATTTCCGTTGTTGTAGCGTCGCAGTGTTAATAGTAACCTTTATTAGTCTTATACGATACGGTACAATATCACACTGATCCAATAATAGAGACGAAATGAATAATACAGGATAAGTATTAAAGGATACAAAACAGTCTTGTCACTCCTATTGTCACTTCTCTGCCATTGTCGTAGTTGAATGCCTATGTTGTCGCCTTGAGTGCGTGCGCAAGCAGCTGTCCGATTGAGTAACTCAGTGAGCTGTCGGACTGAATGACTGTTCTAGCTTTTCATTTGGTCACTGACCGCCAGGATGACTGATCGCCTAGCTCCTTTTATAGTAGGAATGGTTTAATATTCCAAACGGATTGGCTTAACTGCCGGACTAGAGGTTTTTCACAAAATTTCGATATTTATACATAAGTTCCTAACCAAATTCCGGTAAGCTTGAATAAGCTTGATTAGCAAATTAAAAGTAAAAAAATAAAAGTACAGCAAAGGATTCTACCTACAACATTTAAGCATTACAATTAAAATTGTTAAAAAAATTGGAAGAGTTAAATTTAGATAGATGATTCATCACTTTAGGTATCGAAATATTTATTTTATTAATTTTGTGTAAACGAATCATTTACCTGAGAAATATTCTGAATTCTAATTAAAACAACTCATAACATTTTGTTCGACTTCGCTGACAAATTGATATTTCAGAAAGAAATTCTAAAATCGAATTTCTTCATCTAAGCTTATTTGTAATTTTCTATGAATGATTCAAATTATAATTAAATGAGATTTAAAAGAAGAAATACAAGCAGAAAGTAACATATTATAGAGAGAGAGAGAGAGAGAGAGAGAGAGATGTATGTGAATGTGAAGTAAGTAATTTAGTAAGGAAACGAAAATGAACATTTATCTAATCATTTTCAATAAATAAAGACGTGTACTTTTAGGACTTGAAAAATACCACAATACCCATTTATTGGCCAACAAAAGTGACAGAGAGGCTAAGATTATCAGACCATTCAGTGACATTACTTTCAAGTACGTCAAGTAAACATCAAGTAACAATGATGTTTCAATTGAAGCAGAATATGAGTGGTGAACGACGAACTATTTACCATCTTAGGTTGATGGATTGGGAAAGTGGTGGAATACCGCCGAGTGAAGAGTCCTTCCTTGGTAAGTTTACTCTCTTGTCACTGTTCTAGAAATCTTATGATAATGGTAGTGGCTATTTGGTTGTATTCCAAGCTATGGTTCTCATTAGATGTAACATGAACGCATCCTATAGGATTTATGGATGCTGTCAATAGTGTTCGACGACACTTGGAAAATGAACAGTTGAAGAAAACAAATTTCGGAGCGGTATCAGGATCCAGAAAAAATCGAAACAATTGTCATGTAAAAACTTATCGAAGTTTTTCCTGCAGTTTTCGTGGAATAGCTTATTTAGGAAAATATTTTGCAGTTAAGTTTAACGGATCCAACAAATCTAAATAGGACACAATCGACTGATTTCGGTCATTACAACTGGTGTAAAAAAGGATTGCATATGGTCAATTATGCATTGCATTATTCACCTTCTGGGTAACCTTTTTTTGCAGTAATTAATCAAAAGGTGAAATAACAATTAGGAAATGATTGGCAGATTAGCAATTTTAAGTATTTCCTTATTGAGTATGGTTGGAGGTAACATGACGGAAAAGAGAATGAAATAGTTTGAATTTAGATTAGGGAAATAGAAAAAGTTTAATTGTAGCCATTCGGATGCTTTATCATCGGAATTTTCATCTACTAGAAGAAATGGGGCAATGGTAGATGTGATCGCACCACCAACCGTCATACATTGCCTGACAGGTGCTCACGAATCTGGTGTTTACCTGCTTGTGGAACTGATGATCCATTGTAATGAGCATAACATGGTATGCCTTATTTTTGATGAGGAAAGATAATGATGATATTGATATTTTGGTAAGGAGAAAAGACTTACGTGATCATCTACATTCTGTAAGTAGTGCTCATGTATTTTTATCTCCAAATAGAAAGATTCTAAAACTATTGCTTCAAACACTCAGATGATTGTGTTTTTGAATTTAGATTAGAAGAGCTAAAGTAGATGAGTATTTACTGATAAGAATTAAATAGCATAGTTTCATCCTTTTCCCGGCAAAAGTTTTCGTGTAATTTTAAGGTTTTACTCCTGGTTTATTGAGAATTTGCAAGTATTCACTGTAGTGATATCAAATCAGTTCAATTCTCTAAAAGGAAGATTGTGTTCAGTGTGTGGATATTGGCAAAACATTGGCAATGTTACGACAGCAACGGATGTGTTTGGTGAAAAACGTGGAACAGTACCGCTTTGTATATTCCGTACTAATCAATTATTTGCAAAAATCGCGGCTCATTTAGAAAAAAATGAAAGATTTCATTGTGCCATCACCCATTTAATATATAATATAATTGAATATAACCAATTAACACTTCCTCTTTCTTCATGGAAATTTCAAACGATTTCGGTGATCCTTCCCTTCCCACAATATTTAGTTATTTTTGATAAATGTAAAATTAGTTTTGAAACAAGTACTTTTATTAGTTCAGTTGATACTGAGGAAGAATTTAAAGGATAAATGATGTATCTTGGATAATGGTCACATATTAGAATAGGATAGTTAATGTCCAGTTTTGTCATTGGTGCTTTTTATAGTTCGACATTTAGCATAGTTGGCTTTCATATGTTTGTATGTATAATGTTGCATTACGCTGTTTAGAATGCAAATTTGCTCAATCAAATTCCGGCGCATTTAATCGTTTATTCATTTAATATTCATATAACATAGTTGTATGTATTCTGTTCACTTACCTTCTCGTCACTTAAGTAATTCATTCACTTGCCGATGTATAATACATTCATTGTGGCTGTTTCTTGTGTGAATGATATTTGAACTTTAAGTTAGAAATGGAATTAATTCGAAATCAATCAACATAAAGGATGGAAAGACTCGCTTGGATTTCATCATAGAGAGTATAGAATATGAATTCATGCTTTAATAAGTAATTCATATTTTATTTTTAGCTAGGTTTTATACATTCAATATGTACCATTTTCAAAAAAATCATTCCTTAATGAATCCTTTTGAAGTATATTGTAATCATCGTCGTGGCTGTTTTGCGAAAATATATGCAGAGCTATATCATGCTTACTGTAAGCGCGCTAATAGCTAAAAGGAAACCAATGCGGGATAGACAAGTTTGATGTAAGAGACATGAAGGCAAGTTTTTTTGGACTGTATTGATGAGATACGGTTTTCTCTATGTTGTTTTTTGTCTTCGAGATTGGCTCTGCGTGTGTACCCAAAGAAACTAGCAATGTTATGAATTTAGCTGGAGCGCTGATTAGACTATAGTGATGTGAGGATGAAGGTAACCTTCCTAAGGTAGTAGTAGAGAACTTCTGTTTTCAACCTGACTTCCAGTCCGAAAAACTCAGCGTTCAGCAATCTCTGCAATTCCTGAGAATTAGACCAGAATAACGCTCAAGACGTCTACTCTTCGCACTAAGTATGTTTTTGATGTTCTAAAATGCGAGTGTCAATAAGAGCACACCTTCCAAGACAAGTGCATACCTTTGTCTTTGCTCGACCGCATTAGATGACCGTTGGCCGCGATGCAGAGATGGACTTTGTTAGGCCATCTTTCTAAGCCCTCTTCCCTGTAAAGCAAGCACTGGTGTCCTTGAAAAGTCTATTTGGTCCTTTAGGAAGACTGCTATCTTGGGGTCAATCTCGAGGAACCAATTGCTACAAGATTTTAAAAAGTGAGTATACCTTTCGAATCTGCGCAGTGAATTTCTTTGGTGAGACATAGCATGCGCGGAATTGCCCTACTCTTCATTGTTAAGATTTATCTTCCAGGATCTAGTGACTTAGAACGATGACAGCGAAGTTCTCAGGAGGCAGGTTTAGTTAAGGTATCATTCTTTGAGATAATTTAACCTTTATAGGGTTAAAAGAGTTCCATCTACCAGGGTTTGGGATCGGAATTGTCCTTCTACTACAATGGTTGCACGAAGGCTAATGAACCCATTCTGACCGTAAACACATTTTGTCTAAAAATGTTTAGCATAGGAGGCTCTACTGAAGGCTTTTGCCAGCGCCAGCATAGGGTAACCCCGTAAATACATGCAAGCTTCTCCTCTGCGACAAGGGGTGTCAGTGGAAATCTGGCCACCACCTTGCAATTAAG